TGATCTCCACGGTATTTTAAATAAATACAGAGCTAATGCTGTCTTCCTTGTAACTACCTCCTTGATTTAAAGGTAAAATTATCTTTTGCAATGTATTAGAGACAGTCATCTCACCCTCATAAATGTGCGTTTTCTCTACAAGAATTCCACCAAGTTCCCACCACTACCAGTCCCCACCACTACCACAGGCAAAAATGCTGCAAGGGTTAAGGGGAATATGACTGCATACAGATACTTATAGTTTAATATACTATCTGTGTGAGGGCCAGCAAAAAGTGTCACAGTTATGCGGGTTTGGTTTAGTTTGTTGGCTTTTTGGGAGGGGTGGGGGGGAGGTAAGGAGGTATTCACGATCCCATTATCTTTTCCTGGTTTTTAGACCATTTGGAAAACTGGCAACTTAAATTAAAACAAGTATTGCAAAGCAGCTAAAGTTTTTCACTGAGAGAAAAAAAGAAGAGTGTAAGTTTGTAAAACGACTTAGTAATAAGAAAAGAAGATCTAGAAAGTTGATTTTACTGCCATCCTGGCTGGACTCTGCAGATTTTCTATCAAGGATGCTCTACAAAATGTTCTTTAACATTTCAATATTCTTTAAGAATCCTGACACTCAATTTAATGGTTTATGTCAGTAAAAATATGTCATCTAGACTGTTTTTCTCTTTAATGTCCCACAGGCATATCAGCTCAGGTCTTAAACCACCACCAACCCCTCACTGCTCCCCTCCCTGCCACCAAAGAATTACATTTCTACTGTAAATAAGCCATGGCATTTTAAAACCTATAATCAATTTTAAATCACAAATTAAAATAAATTATATGGCAAATTAAAATAAATTTGTCTTGTGTTAATCCATGAGTGTTTCTACTCAGGTCTACCTATGTCAGTCTCATAAAATACTGATCTTACAGCGTGGGAAGGACAGGGGACCAGATAAAGGGAGGTGGTATACATTTCCATGCCTGTTATCATAACTAATTTCCATGCCTTATTGTAGTAAGCCAAGAGCCAGAGTCACTCTGTCTACTTATTTATCTTTTTAATGGCAACCACTAATGGCATTAAAGAAGGGAGAGTACCCAATATCACCTAATCATGTTTTCATTACAGTTGGGTAGCCACTTCAGGTAAGCTTAAATATGCGCTAAATCTGAAGGTAATCATTTTCTCTCTCCAAGATAAGATTGTTTGAGTTTAGGGTTTTAGGTTTTTGCTTGTTTCTGTATTTTCTATTTGGTCACAAAAAAAAGATATGTTATTTCAAGAATATTTAACGTATGGCAAAGGAAAACAGTTAGTGAGCACTTTCCCAAAAGGAGAGAGGAGGGAAGATTCTCAGGTAGCAAAGCAGGAAGGAGCAAACCTTAAGGTGGTGGGTTGCACTCTGCTGCTGAGAACTGGGGTCTCAGCTGTCCATTAACAAGTTAAAAGGCGAGAAACTTAAACTCCATTGGAGAAGAGACGCGTCCATGCGCCTCAAGCAGTCTCTTTCTCTTTGTTTTTAAATGCTACTGCAGTGTTGTTTCTCGCTGTCTGAAAGGACCACAGCGTCTAAAACCCTGATTGTCATCCTCAGTGGGAGAACAGGTTTCCAGTTTCATCAGCTGGACGGAAGTTGTGTGTGTGAGTAGTTGGTTTAAAATATTAGAGAAAATGCAGCCTTTCCAGGGCAGCGCTTTTTCTGGGTAGAACAATAGCCAACAATTCGCCTGTGATTTTGATTATTTTTGTTCCTGGCTGGCTCACACAATTCGTATCTAACTCATCCCCTTTAGACACTCTTCCAGGTGTAATTATTGGATTCGGTCAGAATGGGGGAGGGGCCACTTATGCCCTTAAGGGTCTCAGAAGTGCCCACCTGGCTTAGGTCGAGGCACAAGGGTGTGGGAGATGAGATTGAGCCTTAGGGTCCCTCCGTGTAAATTGTTAGTGGGAGCGAGCTGGGCACAGACATTAGTGCGCTGGCTTCGGGCAGCTGAAAGGGGTGATATCTGAGAGTTTTTAGAGTCTCCTCCAAGGGAAAGCTCGGAAAAAAAGAGAAATGGAACGGAGAGAGCACAAGGAGCACTAGCGACCTCCTTCACCTTAACCCTAACGCACCTGTCCCTGTCAACGCCGTGGACCCTAACAAATCAGGGAAGAATGTAAGCTGAAACAGCCTGACGCGAAGGCCGCTGCCGGCCTAGGCTGGTGCCTTCTGCTTGGAGCCCGGGCTGTGCGTGGGGGGAAAAGCCGCTGCTCGCTCTAGGGCCGCCAGAGAAGGGGGAAATAACCGACCTGGCTCCACCAAGAAAGTGGAGCTCTCCTGCTCCTCACCTCCAGTCCTGCGGAGACACTAATAGCGAGGGCCCCTCTCTCTGCCGCGGGAAGTTCTAGGGACAAGCCTAGAAAGCGACGACCTCTCTACCTGGCACTCCTCCTCAGAGCGCGCGGGTGAAGAGTTGGGTCCGAAAACCAAAGCCAAGACTCCAGGAATCGAAGAAGGAGACAGGAGGTGTCTGAAGCAAAAAGGCCACTGGGAAATGGGCAGCAGCAGGGCCTAGGCCGCCTCCGAACCGGGCTCCAAGGCCTGTGCCATCTGCCCTGTGCGGGAAGCACGGGGCCTGGGAGCCAGGGAGCGCTCACACCTGCGGTAGTGCTGGGGACGCAGCGCTCTGCCAGGGCGGCTTTATCCTGCCGCCAAAGGGCAAGGACAAACCCCGCAGCAGAGCGTCCAGCGCCGCTCACGTGCATCGCCTGGAGCTTAGCTCTCAGACTCCAAAGAAGGCAGCTGGGACTTGGGCCTGGAAGCTGGCTTCGGCGTACCCAAGGCGACGGCAGCTGAGTTGTACCACGAAGCTCAGGCCGAGGCTCCTCCCTTGTCTGGTCTTAGACTCCATACTGGCAGCCTCTGCTCTCAGGAGCCCCGTAGACCCGGCCACTAGGCCCCTTGAGCCTGGAGCTGCGCAATGATCCGGGTCTTGAGATGCGCGCTATTCTCTCTGAACTGGTGGAGAGGAGGCTCTGCGTCGCAGAGGACGGCGGCGCCCGAACTTCCAGCGCCTCCAGAGGGCCCAAAGGCAAGAACGGCCTCCGGCCTCTGGAGTGCGAGGATGGCTGGAAAAGATTCCCAGTTCTTCTGCCTCCAGAGAAGCGTGGAATACAAGCCTCTGGATCTTCAACCTAGAGTTCTGCCTTCAGAATTTGCCAAAGACTTGCAGGCGGTGGGGAGGCAGTAGGAAGTGAAGCCCCCTCCAGTCTCAGCCGCCGCCGCGTTTGCTACAGCAGCAGCAATGCAGCTGCCACAGAGCAGAGGAAGGGCCGCTCTGCGCGGGTTCGGTGCCAGGTGTCCCGCTGGCCCTCAGCGGACGGGGGAGAGCGACTAACAAGGGTCGATGCTCAGCAAACTCAGAGCTCCTCCATAAGTGCCAACGCCACTGTCTCTTCCTGGAAGCTTCCACTCCCGACTGGGGTCAAGACCACGCTGTCCTGGCCCAGAAAACAGGTTCAAGAACGGTGGTGCCCGGCCCCAGCAGCGCCCTTCTCCTTCCCTTAGCTCGCTGGGCTCTTGAGCCCTTAACTACAAAGGCAAAAATTCGGGAACCGGGGACCAAATCCCTTGGCCTCTGAGAATTTAGGAAGCTTCGTTCTCAGCCAAGAGGTCAAGGCGAGCAGGCAGCGGGGACTCGAACAATTTCGTATTCAGATTTAAACCATTTTAATGAAAAATCACCCGAGTGTTTGTTTTTTATTTCACTTGGCACAATGGTTTGGCTGTACAATTTCGTCCTAAAAACACTTTATTTATAAGCCGGTGTTCATTACTTTTGGCTAATGTTCTGACATCTGTAGAGGAGAAACGAAAAGTGGCTTTAGATTCAGTTAAACTGCGACGCCCAGAAGGTAAATTGGAGGTCCCTTAACAGCTGGTTCCCGAAGATTTCCTCGAGGGAAGAAAAAAAATATGGTTAGTTTCCCCTAATGATTTCTCTGAAATGATTGCCCAAAAAACTCAAAGCAATATTCAGTTTTCTCGCCTCCTCCTGCTTGTCCCTCTTTTAGCCAGACTGAGCCGAGGATGGCGAAAGGAGGCACATTGTGCAATTTCTTATTAAACACATCTGGAATATGCGCGCTCTGGATTTAGTGCCAGGGGTTTTACAAAGAGTTTATGACTGTGACAGAAAATTGTCCTTTTAACGAGTTTACAAGCAGTAATCACGCGGGCTTTTACAGGACCAGCCCTCTTGCTCCTCGCCAGATCTGCAGACATGTCCAAGATTCACCAACTAAAGGAGCAGGAAATGGGCCGGGGCACCCTGCGAGACACAACGTCCACGAGCCTAAAATTATCCCAAGCGGAGCTGGGGGTGGGGGTAGTCAACGGAGTAGGAAGAGAGGGCATGTAAGAAATTAAAGTAATTGGCCCTTCCTATTTTCCAGAGAGATTTCCGCAGCGTCCTTTGAAGCCTGTCAGGGTCATTGAAAGCTATCTTTGTGTAGGGTGTTTGTTTTGGGGAGTGAATGTGAAGAATGTGCGGAGATTCCCTGTGAGAGCCCCTCCTGCAGAGGGTGGCATTTCTCCGTGGCCCAAGACAGGGAGAATAAACACCCTAGTGACTTAAATAAACACCGACTTAATGATCCAAAACACTAACAAGGGAGATTGGGACCCTAAGCTCCCAAACCAAATGATGGTCTCTGAGCGGCTGTGTGCACATCTGTCCATCACTGAGGGGGAAAAACGACTTTATAAGTAAAAGTGTCTACAGTTAAGTACAATGACCATTTCTCCCTGGAACTCAATGCTATTTGACAGTTTAAAAAAATAAGAAGGCCTTGATTTCCCCCACATACCCCAGTTTTCTAGACCAGAGCAAAGAATAGGAAAGAGTAAAAGAGAAATAATATATTCATGGTGACACTTACAGATAGGGAAAAATCAAAATTATCAAACTGTCATGTGAGAAAATACTTTCCTTAGGGAACAATACTTTACAAAGCACAAGCAAGCCAATCCTGTTATCCTGAGTAGAATTTTAATAAATAATGCCATTTGTTTCACTAATTTTAAAAGCTAAATACAGAAGATACATCATTTTGCCCCAGACAAAAATAATATGGAGCCTACATGATTACCGGGATTTTTCTGGACACTATCTGGCACCACTGCAAAAGAGCTCCTGTCCTGCTGGTCTGCTTTCCATTTGTACAAATTAATTCACAATGTTTCTATTCTTGTTCTCCTTCCCTTTTTTTTTTCTTCAAGCAGATAAATTATTTTTACTTTCACAGTCTTGTCATAAACTTGTTAACACACACGAGCTTAGTTAACATATGAATGCTGTGAGGAGACAGTGGTAAATAAAATTGCATACCTAAATAATAAAAATAAATAAATACCCCAAAGCTAAATTCACTCTCTTTCTGTCATATAATTAATCTAGTTGCTACTCTTGGTTCAGATGATGGCCTTCAAAGTACCCTGCAATTCACAGCCACCATTAAGAAAAAAAAAAAGTTTGTTTTTTTTTTTTTTAAAAATAGGGCCCAATGACAGCAATACACCACTCACCTTTTAGAAACAGAATCATACTCCTGGTGTTCTACTAAGTTTTAATTTAGACTGCTTTAGGTACAATAGAAAAGAAACCTGAAAACACATGCTGTTTTAGTAACAAATACCGGGTTGCCAAGATTCGTTGGCATACCTTTGCAAACCAGAAACTAGAAACAGGAGAAACCCTTAACAGGAGTAGGGTACAGATATGAAAGCTTTGAGGGCATGAGTAATGGCATTCAGGAAAGTGTTTTTTCACATTGGTACAATTTTAGAGTTTGTCATTAAAAAAAAAAACCCAAGAAAACAAACAACAACCAAAAAATTCCACTAAATTTGAAAAAAATAGTTGCATTACTAATGGTCACGTCTATTTCTAACTTTCTCACATAGAGAGCATTAAGACATTTAGGCACTTGTTTTTCCTCCTAATACTGCTCTTTTATTTTAATCTACATTAAATTATTTAACACTAAAAATGAAAAATGTAAACTCAATTTTTCCTTATCAAAGAAAGTTACAGATTGTATTTTTCCTATTCACCTTAAGAATGTAATCAGTTCCTCCAAGCCTGGAGGCTCTTATTTTCACTGTTTTTATCTCCCTTTCTCTTTCTGTTTCTCTCTCTTCATTTCCCTTTCCTCTTCACATTTCTCCATAAATAAATTAAAAGGAAATAATAAAAATCCAGTTGATTTATAATTCCCGTTCGTTGAAAAAAGGAAAGACTGCTGAAGCAGGCATATCATTGCGCAGAACTGAGACTGGGTGCCTGGATGCTTTTGTTTGTTTGGGTTTTTTTTTCCCCCTGATCTCTGCCTTGGGAAGGAAAATGCAAAGGTGGAAAGAGTTGGAGAGAAGAGGAGACTAAGCTTGAGATCGCTGTCGGTTTTGATTTTTAAAAAGATATTTGTGAAAGTCCACCATTCCTTTATGCGCAAAGAACTCCAGAAACAAGCTGCAAAAATGTTCCTGATTTCTATTTACAAGTGTCCCTAGTCGCTGCAGTGGTTGCTGCTCCAGGCATCCCTTCAAGGCTCCAGTGCCTCCCCACTTAGGACCCCAAGTCCACCAGACTGGAGGTGAGGGGGCCAAGCAGAGAGTCTTGGAGCTGATGCTGGTGGGCCTGCAGGCCGTGACTGGACTGCGAGGCTGTTAAGCCGGGGAGAGAATAGTTCGAGCTCCTGGCGTGGCCCATATTGCCCTGCAGCAGAAGGACCGAGTTCTGGTCTGGACTTTGGGGAGGTGAGAATTCTTCTTCTGAGCTGGACATGAGCGGCTTGCCCCCTTCCAGAGGAGAAAGTTGGTTCTGCTTGTTGGAGGAGGAGTTATTGTTTTCAGTGTTCTCCCTAAGAAATAGAGGACAACACCATATGGTTAAAAAAAAAAAAAAAAAAAAAAGGTTAAAAAAAGTGTGAGATGGAGGGAGGGGAGCTGGAAGGAGGAAAGGGCCATTGTGCAATCTGTCACCAACCCAAATGGAAGAGCTCTACCCTTCCACCCATCCCCAAGGGTAATGGGGGAGGTGAGAAGTCAGAGAAACGGAGAGCTACGGACAGAGCCGCCTGTTGGGAGCCAGGTTATTTTCTCTTCCAGATTTCAGGAAGTGATAGATTAGCAGGATTTACTTGAAACATACAAAATATACCTTTTCAATTTTGTTCCAGCAGTTACATTTAAATACATATCAACTAACACCATGTTTAAATGTAACTAAGTTTGAAAATCTTTCAATAAATGGATGTTGGTGATAAAGAAATGATAGAGGACAGAGTCTAATGCACAAATGTTTGGGGTGAATCAAGCCCATTGCCTTATTCCAGTATGAGACAATTAAACATCCAGTTTTCCTGCCCCAGCCCAGAGTTGGTGGTTTTGCAGACACAGGACAGGTCATGGGAAGTGGTGCCCAGAGCGGCCCAGTGACCGAGTAAACACAAGGAGCGCAGCCAGTCTTTCTGATTTCATCTGGAGTCGGCCCTAGGGCCTGGCTTACAGGACGGCCGTTTTATAACTAAAGGCTAACTGCAACTATATAATCTCTGTTTCTGTGTTACTTGCTAACTCTTCAGCCCCTCGTGGCCCCTTCTTAAACTGTTTACCAACATCCAAAGCAACCCATCCTTTCTGGGCAAGGGAAACTTCGCCGGCCGGCACAAGCTGCCAGCGGGCGAGGTCCCGGCACTCTGTCCCGGTTAAATTCAGGATTTCGCTGCTCTCGCGGCTTTCGCCTTCCGAGTGCTCGCCCTGTATTCCCGACTCCTAGCGCCTGTCTGTCTCCTCCTTTCTTTTCCCTTATCCTCAGTCTCTGTCTCCCGGCGAGCCCATTTCAGCTGAATTTATCCTGGCTCTGTGGTTTTCCACCCAGAGAGGAAAGGAAGCAAGACCTTCGGCCCCCAGGTTTGGAAGCAAACAAAGGAACCTAACCAGCCCCTGCGCTCAGGTTTTCCCCAAACTCTTCGGCTTCGCGGAGCGCTCTCCGCGCTACAGCCACCTCCCCACCGTTCTTCTGAATCTCTGTCGGAAACTCTACAGAAAACGGAAGGAGCCTGGCCAGGTGATGAAGGTGTTGCCCCGAGGTGGGGGAAGTTAAAGACCAATTTTTAAAATATTGCCTTCTGAGCTCCAGTGCGAGAGAAGGCTGCGACAGGAGACCCCTAAGGTCCTCGTCTGGGCAAGCGGCGCGGACAGCCAGACCGACCGGCTGCAGCGCCGGGCCACGAGCGAGCGAACACGGCGAGGATCGACCCTTTCTGAATTTGGGGCTCCGGGAAGTAAATGCAGCGCCAACTCTCCCCAAGACTCTCTTTTTGGTGTATTTTTAAAAGACTCCTTCCTTTGTCCAGCTAGTGAAAAATGAAGCAGGCGACCTGATTCAAAAGACTATCAAGAGAGAGCCGTGTAAAACCGGGCGGGAGTGAGGGCAAGGCCAATGTCTCAGGCCAGCTTCACCCCCCTGGGGAGGAAGAGGAGAGAGGTTCGAGAACATCAGCTCCCACCGAACCTCTTTCCTTGCGACACCACTCAACGCTTCCCTGCCCATTGATTTAGAAACTCACTCTCCACCCATCACTCCCCGCCGCGGCCAGCCAGGGAGGCATGAAAAACAAACCTAGAGCCAGTATTTCCCGACACTCACATCCCAGAGAAACCCACTCGCGGGTGCTCAAAGCAAATGAGGCCCCATCCTTAGCAAGGAACCTCAGAGTTCATGAACTTTCGCAGCAGCGCGGCGGAAGCCTGCGCGCCGCCCGGTGGACGGGCTCCGGCGAGCGGGGAGGACTTGGTGACGGGTGCCTGCGGGGGCGGGAGGGGGTGGAGGGGAAAGGAAGGTTTCCTAGGGTTGCCCGAGTCGCGGGAAGCACGCCGCGTACCTTTCCTTGGCCTCCGCTGCTCGGTCTCTTTGCCTCCGGTTCTTAAACCAGTTGCTGACCTGGGTGGTGGTGAGGCCAGTGGCCTCAGCCAACTCCCGCTTCTCACGCGGCGAGGGGTAGGGATTGTGCGCGTACCACTCCCGCAGCACGCCCCGCGACTTCTCCTTGAAGCAGTAGCTGGTCTCCTCGCCGTCCCAGATGGTGCGCGGCAGTGGGAATTTTCGGCGCACCCGATATTTGCCCACGGCGCCCAGGGGTCGGCCGCGCAGCTTCTCGGCCTCCACGTAATGCGCCTTCAGCCACAGTTGCTGCAGTTTGGGGTGGTTGTGAGGCGAGAACTGGTGGCTCTCCAGGATCTTGTAGAGCTCACGGAAGTTGCCGCGGTGGAAGGCGACCACCGCCTTGGCCTTGAGCACGCTCTCGTTCTTGTGCAGGTGGTCGCAGGCGGGCAGTGACCACAGGAACCTGCCCAGGCGCTCCAGGTTTCCGCCTTGCTGCAGAACCTCGCACACGCATGCCACTTGCTCCTGAGTAAAGCCAAACGACGGTAGCATCGACATGGCTGGGGCCTGCCGGGGCTCACCGCCCAGGCGCACGCGGCTGGGAACAGAGCCGAGAAGCGGGGGGCGGCGGCCGCAGGGGATGGGGGCGCGGCTGTTCCTAACCTCCTCCCTAGATTTTGCAACGGCGAAAATCCGAATCGGAACTTGGAGGTGGACGGCCAAGGAAGAGGAGGCAGAAGGGTAGGGCACGCGCTGAACAAGGAGCCGCCGGCGCACTCAGTAGCCTTTAGGGCCTTGCTGCCTCGGACCTCCCGCCCGGTGGCTGCTGCTAGTTGCCGGGGAACTTGGTTTCTGTTCTCCCGGCAGCTGCCTTAAAGCGCGCAGCGTTCCCGGCACGCTGATTGGCTGCGGGAGGCGCCTATCCGGGGCTGGCCAGCCAGCGCGCCGCCCGGCCGGCAGCGAGGCCGCACCGCCCAGCTCGGGGAGGGCGAGGCTGAGGAGCTAGGAGTTGTGGTGGTGTGTGTGGTGGTGTGTGTGGTGGGGGGGGGGGGGCGAGGGAGTGTTGCTAGGGCTGCGGGGGAAGGGAGTGGTGGGAGGAGAAGGAAGAGGAAAGGTGGGAAGCCAGTTGGGGTCTGAGCTGCGCTGCGAAGGTCGGGGGAGGTAGGGAGTGGGTGAGCGCGTCCGGACCCTGCAAGGCTGGACCCGTTCGTTGCCAGCATTACCTACCCAGAGTCGGGCACAACTCCGCACAAATCAATGACTTCAAACCTTCGTTTCTCCCCTCTCCCTCCGTACTCTTGTCCTCCTCCCTTGTAGACTTGCCCTTTCCCGGTGAGCTCATATTTAATTACTTTAATGTTGGAATGAATAAATAATGGATTGATGAATAGCTATGGAACGCGATAAATAATTCAAGAGCAGACCAGGGTCCCTGCTTGCAGTCTCTGGAAGAGTGGCTTCTTTTTGGGTTGGCTTCGGCTCGAGGAGCCGAACCCAATTTCCCCTTCCCTCCCCCATTGCCCCACACCACCCTCCAAAGGGCACAAGTACTCCCAGTTGGACAGCATTTCCCTCGTTCACAAAGGGCCTCCACGATTTGAGACCAGGAGAAGAGCTGTTTAGAGCACTCTTGCTGAGCACATAGAGTCTCCGAGCATTCATTTGTAATCTATTATCTTAGTGTTCTGCAATGGAAACCAGCAGGTTCCTGAAGCTTTTCTGGACTCAGTTTTCCCATCTGTGTGGTTGTGATTTCCATTGCCACCTTTGCTACTGAGGAATGCCGAGAAGCTTTACTTGCTATTAGCAAAAATGCTTTGGGAACCTCGTACGAAAGGCGCTGGATGTGGTGTAAATTAAATAAAACTGTGCCAGGCTCCAATAACCGTCCGGTTGTAACATAATCCTTGCCCTGCTCTGAGAGGGACACTGCCCTCAAAGCGAGGACGACAGCAGCTCCAAGAAGATTAAATAAAGAGGGTGTGTGTGTGTGTGTGTGTGTGTGTGTGTGTGTTGCAATGCTGGCCTATTTTGCTGCCAGGGAGTGAGAGATGTACTGCAATGTAAGTCTCATCATCTGCTGTTTTGTTTATGTGTGGAGAATGCTTAGTAAAACTGCACAAACAAATGAAGTTGTAATTATCTTAAGCCTCATTTGCACACCTAGTTCCAAAGCAATTATTAAAAAGATTTTAAAAACAATTAGCCTCTCTAAACAAAGATAATCTATTGTCAGTAGCAGAGACTAGCGGGAGATAAGAACAATGCATGGAGATAAGGGAAGCCAAATGGTGGAAGGAGAGTGACTTTATGACTATACTTATCTCTGATTAGATAAGTTCAAAACAGAATTCTAAGTACACTTCAAAAATGCTTTTGATTTCAATGCGCCCTCTTAGAGAGTGGTGAAGAACAAACTGTACGTAGGATCTTTAAACTAGCTTGTCTTCTTTGAATATGTTTTGATTCCTTCAGCCAAAGAGCTCAGCACTACAAAACCTTTTGCATATTCAGATGCAAGTGGGAGAAGGAGAAGCAGCGTCTGGGTTTCCCCTTTTATTATTAATATGGTTTTAAAGTGATGCACCCAGTCCAATGCACCCTGCAACCAACATATATTCTAAACTTATAAAGGGTTACCACCTAAGGGCTGCCACATGGGAGATTCCAAGTACGCAGGAAGCTGCTTCTCTACTGAATATAATGCTTTCTGCATCCTTGAAACTCTTGCGTATTCCATGCAATTAGATGTTGGAAGCAGATGGTGATATTTCATTGCCCTAGGCTTTTTTTTTTTTAAATGCATTTAATGAGTGCGCATTCTTTCAAAAGAGCCTCTGCCATATAGTTTGCCCAGTGACTTTCTAAACTGGAAGCCTGGCACTGCTAAGCCCAGAGCCATGTGTCTGGTAATTTTCCCTCACCGTCTTATTTTAGTGCTTATGATGTTTCACATGAGGTCTTAAGGAGCTGCAGTGTCCTCCCAGAAGGAATGTCTCTGCTTGGAACAGTCCTTATTGACATGGCAGCTGTGTGAGGACCGGAACGGAGGCTTAAATCCGTCTCTAAAAATCAGTTAATACAGTTAATACCCTAAAGTCTGGAGCAAGTGCACACAATTACAATGGGGAGAGGGTGTTTAAGCACAATCATGTCTCTTAAAAGACAAACAGTATGTTGAGTATGAGGTGTGCTTTGCAATTAACAATTTTGTATAAGGAAATGAGGCATAGCCTGGACTAATAAGGGCAGGTATAAATTTGCAGAGGATGACAGAGAGCAGAGAGATGGCAATTAGACACGAATAGGACCACCTCCCCCGCCCCCCCTTCCTCCAGACCTCCCTACCCACTTCTTTTTCTGTCTTCAAAAGGAACCAGGACGTACTAGACATCGGCATCACCTGGGAAGACCACGTGTAGAAGCTGTGATCGCGGGAACCGGGTAGAAGAGAAGAGGTGATCTTCCTCAGAGGCCGTGACTGCGCCCGCCGAAATTTTTTCCTCCCGCTTAATCCAATAGATCGCGTAACTGGAAAGGGAAAGTGCTATGCACTTTATACCAAGGAGCCTACCTGCTATTCCTTGGTTAGGGGAACCAATTGTTATAAATGTTAATTATTGGCTCGGATATATAAGGTTTCCCAAAATGGAACCTCCCACTGAAAACCACTAAAAGAGGTAAAATGACATGAATTCACAAATCACCTAAACCAAATGATCCATTTTAAATCGCACACAGAAAGGTTTGAGTTGTTCTGGTAACATAAAACCTTTGCTGTCAATGCAAATCGCACGAAAAGCAGAGATGCGTTGGAAATTTAAAGGAAACAAGCAACTCTAGCCAGCTGGCTGCTACCCTCGCGCCCCTCGTGAGGGAACACCGCTGGCAAGGAGCGCCCGATGCTAAGTTTTGGCTCTTCAGTGCCTCCTCTGAGCAGGTAATGGTCGAGTGCGCATAATTAGTCGATGAAAAAGCATTTAGTGGGATAGCATTAGCAGTTGCTAGGGCTTCTAGGCTAGGTTGACATAGGCCTTGATGCAAACACCCCTAGCTGGGACCTTGTAGTTTCCCTTCTGGCTTGGAGCAAGATACTTTGGGGCTCCCTGGCCGCTTTCTTGGAATTCTTTCACCATCCAAAACGACGGTGAGGATCCTATTCTACCTACAAATATTTGGAAGAGGAGGGCATAGAGAAATGTTTCTTCAATAAATTATTGTCATCGCTCTGGGGGCAGTGCGGAGACTCCCCAAGTCCGGGCTGAAGAGCCAAAATTCTCGACCCCTGGGAACTCCGGCTCCGTGGCGCCGGAGCAGCAGCCCACCTGCTCCTGGGGGACACCGCTCCCCGCGAGGTCTGAATAGGCCTGGGGCTCAGGCAGAGAGATTTGCGGACTCAGAGAAGAGAAACCCAAAACCGGTCCATTAGTAAATGAGTTTTGTGTTGTCAAGGTTCTTTCCCATCCACTTGCTGTTCTGAAAAATAGATCACATTTCGTTATCTTTAGTGGGAATCTGCAACGTGACACCGGATCCGCGCGCCCCCCGCCTCCCTCCCTGCCTCTCTCGCCTAGCTGAGGGGAGCAGGCGGGCCTCCTCAGCTTATTTCTGAACAATGAGGATTTGTCTGTTTCCCAAATGCATTTATGTATGTATGGAGGAAGGACGTTTTTTCCTGGAAGCGGGAAGCTCGAGAGCAGAGCCTCCCACTTCCTTGGTGCGAAAACGCTACGCTGGCCCAAGATTCTGGGCGACCACGGGCCCGCCCCTTCCCCCCCACCCCGCCCCACCGCCCACACCTGGACAAACAGAACCAGCTGCGAGCCAGGCTCGCCGCTGAAAACCCTGCCTCCCCGCGCGGCTCCTGAAAATACCATCTTTTTATTGTCTCGGGGTCCGGGAAGGGAGAAAGAGATGACCGACTGACGGACCGACTGGGTGTGAAGCGCTGGGAGGGAGCTCATATTGGAGCGGAACAGAACTGTCTTTAGCAGAGTTATCCTCTCTCGCTCTACGCGTGCCCCGCGGTGGGTCTCTCCTGGAGTGTGTCTCTAACTCTTTTCTCCACCTGAAAGAGAACTCTTGCTCATTCTGTCTGTAAACCTGTTTCTCATTCTTTCATTCCCTCTCTTTACCTCTCTCTTCCTTCCTTTCTCCTCCTTCTCATTGTTTTTCCTCTTCCTCTTCCTCTTTCTTCTTCCTTCCCTCCCTTTCCCTTCTCCACCCCCCGCCCTTTGGCACTCATTTCTTTCTCTCCAGGACTGGGCACTGTAAGGTTCCACAGAGAGTGCTGATGTCACCCACTGAGGCAGCGCGGGTAGGTTCTCTTGAGAGTAGACCAAGTCGGTGCTGTAGTCGGCAGAGCGAGGACCTTTTACAGGGAGTGGAGGGCGAGCAATAGATGGCATGGCCCTCAGGGAGGGCCGGCAAAGGTGTATTGGCCATCTGAGAAAAGGGCTGACCAGCTGCATTCTGAGAAAGCTCTGACCAATCTCCAGATTTGAGCTAAAAGACCCTACTCAATATCATATGCCAACTACCTCTCTGGAAATTGAAGCCGGGATGTCACAAGAATCAATTCTTAAGAATTTAAGGGACTCTGAGCCCCGTCCCCCATTCCCTGTTTTTTAAAAATATCTTCTTAGGGCAAGTTTATGAAATGAAACTCTCCAAAACCGCTTATCTTCCATTGAATTTTCAATCAACTTTTTTTCTCTCAACTTATGTACATCCTGACTACCACATCTGTCTAAGCTAAAAAGAATTTCCTTTTGGGAGGTGAAAGCCTGCAGCTCCTCCTGTTCAGAGGAAAGTGCTAGTGACGGTAATGCAGGGTGACACTAAATAAACAGTTAGGGTGGACTGGAAAGATGGAGT